ATCTGTGGGATCAAGGTTTCTCTAATATATAAAAAATCATTTGTAGGCTTATACGCATCTTATTTATGATATCATTATATTTATATTTTAATGTCATTGCGTTTATCTCGAGATATAGACGTGCCAATTTTTAATAATTTTCTTTTGTTTTCGAAGACAAAAGCTATCTTACTATAAAATATTTTATTATAATTTTCTCCTCATCCCTATATAGTTGTATATGATTAAGAACATTTTAAAAGGAGATGTCAAAATTACCATATAAGTATATAACAGTAAAAATTGGTAGCAAACTTTCTCCAACTGAGCCTTCAATTTCCTACGTGGCGCTGAGTCAATTGAAGGCAAAGCCTTCTCTGTCAAATCCATTTAATATTTTTTAATAGATTTAATGGAAATATAATAAACATGGTTGTGTATTTTAAAATTTTGATTGGTTGCCTACATTAATGGACCCCACAAAGTGTTTAAAAAATTTTAGAATGATATTATTATTTGACATATATATTGGATCAAAAAATTGTACAAAATACCAAATTACCACACAAACCATCAAATATTAATTTAATGTTTTAAATTTGACGTCTCATTTGGAGATGCTCTAAGCTGTGCTCCTATGTATATGCGGTGGAGAAATGGTAAGCAAATTTTTCAAAGTGAAATTCTCTATGAACTTTTCGTCATATTATGTTTTTGGCAAAATGTTTTATAATGCTGGTATGAAAATTATGTCAAAAATATAGGACGGCAAAGAATCACATTTTGAAAAAAAAAAGGTCTTCTTTATCATTTCTCACATGGAATGAATGCTTGAGCACTTGTACTTGGCTGGAAACCCGAGGCACATCCACATCATAGCGCGTGGACAGTTATAAATGTCGTTGTCGTTGAGCGACGGAGAAAACGTGCATCGCAAGTACCCACGTATGCTGCTACGTATGTCGCGATGGTAATGACGTTAGGGTTAGTGTGTCCTACCCATGAAATCTATGCGATCCTGGTCCACCTCCATCGGCATAACTGTGAGCTTCCTATTTATTTCCTAATAAGTTACCTTTGCTTAGCTTAACAAATCATAAATTCACGATTGAGTCTTTCCTTCTTGTTTCATGAATCTTCTGCTAATTCAAGTGGATCCCATTTATATCAGTTTCTACCACCTTTGCTTGACATATAGTTAGAGAAATGCTAACGAGACTCTCTCAAAAGTGAGATTCGTTATAGATTCTCTATTATTTTATGTTTTTGGTCCAATGTTTATAATGTTGGCACGTTAATTGATGTTAAACTGTAAGGTAACAAAGAGTTTATGAAGAATCTCATTTTGATAAAGTTCCCATAGCATTTCTCCTATAGGTAATCGTATATAAGCAAATATCGATTATGTTTCCTTTACTTATGTTTTTTTTTTATTAGTTTATTCAAAATTTATTAATTTCATTAGTTATATGTTTAGATGAGAAACTTTCAAAATCTAAATATAAACTCAATTGTTTTAGTAATAGTTTCATAGTGCTTGAGTAGTTTTAGGTTTAAAAAAAAAATTCAATAGGTGATGTGACATGACTTAAACTTTAGGGTTAATTTCAATTTATTACCTTGAAGTTTCTTGGTTTTTAACATTTAGTACATAAAGTTTTTTCTCATCCCAGAATCATATCTAGAGTGTTAATTTTAGGACAATCTCATACATCCGTTAATCTGGCTGTTAAGTCTCCTGTTAACTAATGACGTAATGTCTATATCGATAATGATTGGGCATCACGTGTTATTAAGGGGTTCATGTGGAAATTCAAAATTCAAATTTTTTTTTTTTTCAAAATTCAAAATTTAGAATGGGGTTAAATCTATATCCCGCCCCTCCCACCCCACCTTCCCTTCCCTGATACCCACCTGCCACCATCCCTTTTCCTCGGAGTAATACTATTCTTATCACAATTTTATACCACATTTCTTTACCATCTTAAGTGGTAGATGAGTTGAACAAGCTATATCATTTAATTTCAATCTTTTTATTAATTAAAATAATCTTTTTATCACAAATATCAATTAATTAACAATCTTTTTATTAATTATTGATTAACATTTTGATTAAATGCTAATTAATTTAGATAATGTGGTTGTCCAACTCATTTGCCTGCCTAAGATGATAAAGAAATGTGATATAAAATTATGGTAAGAATAGCATTATTGTTTTCCCCGTCCCCTTCTCCAAGGGCCCTCTTAAGCAAAGGGCAGATCCAGAAGTGAAGCTCTCTTGAGAATCCAAGAGGGAATCCGAGAAAGGAATGCAAAGTGAATGAATAATGTGCCTCTTCTTGTCTTCAGGGGTGGTTGGGTCAATCCCATATAGAGCAATAGTTGGGACAACCTTTGAGCATACCTGTTGAAGAGGGAAAGACGCTGCACTCGAAAGCCAAGGTCTTCATTATGGTGGTCATGATGCTATTTATCAGAGGGACTATTTTAACACTCTGAACATGAGCAAGAACTTCGTACAGCGAAGTAGTGCATTCTCCAGACAAAGAACCAGTTTCTTTAGTCTGAGAAACTTCAGCAAGAAATATGGGAATTGCCGTGGAATCCAAATCCTTTACATAAGATTTCAGCGCTTTCATTGCTGATCTACGACTGTTAGCATCTTTATCCAGATTTTCCCACTCACGCTGTAGTATCGGGCATAAACTTCTAACCATTGTTGGCTTGCATCCAATTCACGAAAGGTTTATAGAAATGATTAGTGCCTAATAAATATGGTTTCATGAGATGGGTTTTTCAAGTTCTGCAAGAGAAACATAGAATGAAACACACAATCCACGAAAGTCCTAGACTTTGGAAATGTTTGGAACTTTCCCAAATCGCAAGAATTGAAAAAAAAAGAGTTTTTAAGCATTTTGGACGGCTATAATAACCATAAATGTCAAAACTTTTCTGCATCTCTTAGTCATCAACGTTGAAATTCAAAATTGAGGACAAAAGTTGGTTTCTTTCCCCACATTTGCATAGAAATCAAACAGACAAATATTCATTTGCTGCAGGAAACGATAAAATTCCTAGGGCAAAGCAGCACTAGAACCCATCATAGAAGATGGGTTTTCAGATTTAACACCAACAAACATTAAAAATCAAAACAAGAAGTGAAATGAAGAATAAAGTGTTGTCTTTAATATCGAGAACTGAGAAATACCTTCAAAGCTGCTTTCACCTGATGCTTGGGTTTTGACGCTGAGCTGAAATAGAGACTTTTGAGAGAGAGAGAGAGAGAGAGAGAGAGAGCACGCGGAAGAATAGGGATCAAATGGCCTCTCGATTCCGTCGATCCTCGGCTGCATTATGAAATCAAACTTCTCTGGCGGCAGGTCGGCCTGTGCGTGCGCCTAGCTCTCATCCAGATCGAGAAACTCCGTCATCTTCTCAAGAGAGACAACGGCGTAAGCGGTGGCTCGAACAAGAGCTTACGGCAGACGGTCTTTCCTGATCCGGGTTCGCATTTTGGGCGTCAGCCGTGGAGAGAGAAGGGAGGGAGGGTTTGGGGGGTTTTGGGGAAGGGGAAAATGGATGGTGGCGGGTGGTTATCAGGGAAGGGAAAGGTGGGGTGGGTGAGGGGAGGGATAGAGATTTAACCCCATTCTAAATTTTGAATTTTAAAATTTTGGTTTTTTTTTTTTAATTTTTAATTTTCACGTGGACCTCTTAATGATACGTGGCGTTCAGTCATTGTTCATATGAGTGCCACGTTATCAGTTAACGGGAGACTTAACGGTCAGACTAACGGATGTATGAGATTATCCCAAAATTAACACTTAGGTACGACTTTAGGACGAAAAAAATTTCATATACTAAATGTTAAAAACCACGAAACTTGAAGATAGTAAACTGAGATTTATCCTAAACTTTAATCACTAGATTGTAGTAAATGTAATGGCAGCATCTTTGCTCACCATCCTTAAATGGTGGTGAGCATACCATCATTCTCACTCGATAAGTTTAAATTTTGAAATTTGTTTTGTTAATTGATCAAATACACTCATCGTATCCCATTTTCCTTTAAGAAAATGCATCTAAATGCACCATTTGTATATGCAGAGGTTTACAATCCAGCGTAGGATAGTATTACTAGTTTCCACACTGCTATAGTTTAGTACTTCTCCTTTCCTCTGATTTTTCATTTCTTTGTTTCTATTCAACTATCAATCATTAAAATAAGAGGATGTGGACAAGTGCATATAAAATGCAACCAATCGTTACTCAACATTGTCTTGTATACACCAAAAACATGTTACCCACATGTTGTATACCATATTTATTGCAACAATAACGTTGAGGTGCTAACCGGTTATTAGGTTCATACGTTGCTAACCACTTACTTTGATATGGTACACAATTTAATCTCTTGAGATTTGAAATAGACCAACACTCTTACAAAAATTCACCAAAATAAATTATCTTGAAACATGCTAACAAATACTACGATATGGTGGTGATTCATAATATTACACCAATATATTATTTTATTTTACTTAGAGCTACCTTTCTCATGAGACCAACCCGGATTTGCCCTTATGAGTCTCTTTTGCATATCTTCACTTGTAAGTGAAAAATATCAAGTTTGATTCACATACATAACGAGAACATAATATATTTGTGTTAAGTTTGATACTTTAATATCTATAGGTGGACCGTTGAGTAGCCTAATATCTGTAGGTGAAATGTTAAGGGCTTATAGCGAGAAAATGACGGTAGTACACTCTAAAGTGTGTCAAGTGAATTAAGTTTTCAAAAAACTGGATAAAATAGCTTGAATATAATAGTAGGGATGAAATTAGCAATTTTTAATAAAATTAGGGACTTATTCTACCAAAAAATTAATTTAATAACCTAATTTTCACTGAGGTGATAGTTCAAGAACTAAATCCGCGCTTCAACCTAAAAAAATTGGAACAGTGGGGAACTGAAATTGGAATAGTGGGAACATCGGTCAAACTGCAGAGTGGCTTTTACCAAAAGAGGAGGGTTCTACTGAGCGACAGTCTTTAACCCTACCCCAAGCAAACACTGTCCATGAAGAAGGGAAAATCGTCAGAGTCGCAGACAGTTCCTCTTCTGACAATGAGGCCGGCAGAAGAACACGAAAAACCCTTCAATTGCAAAAGGCAATTGCAATTGGTCACCACATCACCCTTCAGACTCCCCGATGATTGGTTCGTTGAGGAAAAGCGTCGTCCCCTCAGCAACATTTGCAACCCCGGAAAAATCGACAGGGTCTCTCTAAACTTGTTCAAATGTGGACTCCTATGAATGTATATTATCCGCATGCATGGATTTTTGATGTGTGGATGTTTACATTTTGCTATGTGTTTGTGTTAACGCCTGGGGTTTTTTTTGTTGTTGGGATTTTTGCGGGGTTTTTTTTTACTGATCTTGAAATTCATGTGCATGTTATGGTTTTGTGGGAGTTTCTCGTTGGAGAGCGAAAAATTGGAGAGATTGAGGGTGGTAATTGTTTGGGGTTAATAAAGTTTCATGATTGGCATTTGGACTAGATTTACTCTTACCGAACTCCATTTGAATATCTGAAAAAAAAAGAAGGAAAATGATTGAAACCAGTCAAGATTTCTTCTTTTATGCATAAGAAAATCTAGGTCTTTGTTAAAAGTTAAAACCCAGTAAATGTTTAGGGGAATCTATTATTTCCAATATTTTAAAGGATTTTTATCCTAAATGGTCTTGATGTTTGGGGAATTCATCAATTTAGTTTCTCGTGTTTCAAAGTGATTAATGTCGCCCATAATTTATGCCCCATCACTCCAATGTGGGTACTTCAATTTCGTCAAATGTCAGGACCATTGCGATAAGAATCCTATTTTTAAATTGTTGTTGGGCATGCTCTTTGATCAGTAAACAATAAATAATGCTTTTGAACTTCTTATGATTTTTATTCTTTAATGTTGCACATGCATCTGGTTTTGTTGCTGGCATTGTAGCTTTCACTTGGTTCATCGTTATGGTCTTCTCCGAAAACAATAACTTAATCCGAATATCTTGATCTTATTTTCTTGCATTAATATACAAATGGCTGCTTCGAGTATTTTTGAAATGAAACTTTATGTTATCTACAATTACTATGATAAGCAAGAATATACATGCTGATTCAAAATTCCGACTCTCCGACAAGTACATTGTACAAATCTGCTCCTGCCGCGTATTTACATTCACGATTTCTTCTTTGTGAAAATTCATTATTATGTTTTGAAGTAGTTCTAGTTCAGGTCTGAGAACTTTCTTGTAATTTTGCAGTATTACATTGAGGCTGATACGGGACTGAGGTTTCGTTCACTGCCTGCTGTACAGAGATACCTAACTGAAGGGCAAACCGAAACATTTACCAAGAGATTAAAACCAGGCAGTGAATGCCTTGTGAGTTCTAGGATCCAAAAAGTGGTCAATCCAAAACATGTAATCTGAATCATATGATTCCCGAATTTACTTTGATTATGCAAAGCTTATTGAATTTTGTCCATTGATACAATTCGTGTGCGTGGATTAGATACCTCTATTATTCCTCATTGACAATGTCAATCTGCAGAAGCAAATTACACCATGCACCACCAGGAAAACTTCTTCATCCTTTAAACTACCTGATGGTTGGGAAATTGAGGAAAAGCCACGAAGGAAGTCTCGTGTCATAGACAAGGTACAGATCTTATGTTTTAAATATTGGCGGTTTCTCTCTTCTTTGTTGTAGAAAGGGTATATCTAGCTTGTAGTTGCTGAAAATATGTGCATTCTGCAACATGGGGTGAAATTGCAAAGATGCATGTTTCGTGGCATGCATACGTATGGACTTTGCATGTTCATGTACAGATGGTATCTTTATATAAATCTGATCCCTCTTTCGGGTCAGCGACTTAACCAAAACGTATTGCCTTAACGTCTGTAAATTACGCTCACTGTACAAATTGGTTGTTATTGTATATTAAAAATGTCAAAATAAGAGAGATTGGCGAGAAAGCATTGAAAGAAGTTGGCAAAAGGATTCGAGGGTAAGAGAAGGTTGGGAAAATTATGGTCCGGGTCTCTGAGATGTGCTATGCTCAAGATTTCTTTCCTCTTTTTACAGAATGAGCATGGCCATAGTGACATTGTGAAATGTATTTTAGACGATTCATTTCTCTAAAAGAGAACATTTACGAACAGCGTTCACATATTCATAAATTAGCACACTGCACTTCGAAAACATGATAATTTTTTTGTGTTTTGCAGACTTATATCGAGCCAGTTACTGGAAGGCAGTTCCGTTCTCTAGTAGCAGTTGAGAGATACCTAACAGAAGCAAATGAAGAAGTTCCACTCAAGGCATTGATGCCTGCCACCAAGTCTAGTGTATGTTTTTTTTTTCTTTTTCCAATTACTGATCAAACGAAAGTTTATCAATCTGCTCCTCTGCGGTCCTTGACCTTGTCCAGTATTGTGTTTCAGATATCGAGTGGCTCTTGCCATCAGAAGACAAAAAGTTTGGCTGAAAGCGAGCCCCAGAATGTTGGTTCTAGTTCTCTGAAAAGAAATATTTCCGGTGAGAATGATAGACCCTCCGAGCTCAATTTTGGTAGGCCACCGGCAAAAGTTAAATGGGTCCTCCGTTGTCCTGGAGGGAATATGTGGAATCCCATTGTTGACGATTCTAAGGTCCCAGATTCTGTAAAGCAGAGTTGGTCCGAGAGTTTGAAATCATCTCTCTCTGGTGGAAATATTAGTGCACCAATTCTATAAGTTATAGCTGTTCTGCTAAGTGGAACTTCTGTATCATTTTGTTTGTTTATTTAATTCAGATGCTAGTCCCCAAAGTTTTGAGGGATCCTTTTTTCTTGGAGGTTTATCAATAGTGATCATCTCGCAAGTCTTTTGACGTAAACCTTGCAGTGCCGATGAGCATAGGCCTCAGAAATCTCTCAGTGAAGAGCAAACCAAGATTTGGAGGCCCTTTTCCAAACACTAACCCAAAAATCAAACAAGTAGTAGCTAAATGATAATGTAAACACGAACATAAAATTTTAGAGTATTGTTGGATTTAACGATTGAATGTGTGCTAAAAAACTCATGTGAATTTAATAGGAAGATCTAAGCTACTTAAAATATATCGTGTAGGAGACAATGATTCATAATACGGTTGAATGTAATTAGGTTACAATGTAAAGGTTCAACTAATGAGTGTGGCTCAAATTCACATCAAATTTGAGTCAAGTGGCTATATTCTTTTACGTACCCGCGATACTGCTACTATAAACTATACTGAGGCTTTGAATCAGAACGCAATGAGTTCAAAAGAAAGACTCTATATACTAATGCAGTTCAACACTTGCACGTCAAGTGACTTATTTGAGGGAACTAGGGAAACGTCACCCCAAGGTTGAAGGGATCCCAAATTTAAAAGTTTCACTGTTGAGTTTAATGTAAGAAAAACTTTTACCTGTGGTATGCACCGGCTTTTTTTTCTGTCTCTCACAATCAATGAGACGAAGAAAGTACATATGCCAGAACCAAACTTTTGTTGAATCACCTAAATAACAAAAGGAAGTGATAAACACACACCGCGTTTTTATCTTTCGTATATTCATATTTAATTTTGCTCGTTATTTCAATAATTCATGCAATCCGAAAACAACAAAGAAAATGACATACGAGAAACCAGACTTAATCACCTCCAAATCCCATATTAAATAAATCAATCAAGTACAATCATATGCCAATAAAATAGGAAAATTGTCCAAATAATTGTTATGAAACTGGAATCATACTGCATGACACACTTTGTAGACCCGATCCCACATTTCTCATTTCTTGGGTCATGCTGGTCCAAGGCGGAGTAAGCTTTTCTACCAGACCCTCAAACAACAAAGACATGGCTGATCTGCTAAGGTGACTGCTCGGTGACAATGATGAATGGGGAATCGTCACAGTTGGAGCCGATTCCGCTGCTAACAGTGAGGCCAGGGGAAGAAGGAGAAGAACCCAGAAGCAGTGGCAGCAAAAGGCAATTGCAATTGGTCACGCCCTCACGGTCATTCAAACTTCCCGATGGTTGGCTGGTCGAGGAAAAGCCCCGTCCTCCAAGCTCTTCCCGCCCGGGCCATACCCAAATCGACAAGGTTCGATCTTTCTTTCTCTTCACTCTCTATTTCTCTCTCTCAACTTGTTCGAATTGCAAATGAATTTACAATGTATATCCTTTGCATCCATGGATCATGGCTGGATGGATGTATGAATGTAGGAATTTTTGTATTTGGGGTTTTTGCAGGGTTTTGACTGGCCTTAAAATTCATATGCTTTCCAGCATTTATGAGATTCTTGGATGTTTTTAGCTATGGGTTTTTAGGCAATTTGCATTGCAGAGTGAAAATTTGGAATAATTAGTGAATTGATCTTGTCAAACTTTTATATTTTTGTACAAGTAATTGTTTTCCCCCCTTTTTCTGTTGTACATGTTTACTATTTCACCGCTGCCTGCTGGCAGTTGACATTTCAATTGGTACATTTTGATAATCTTATAGGATAACGCCGACAATTTGTTATGAATCGAATTTTGAATTTTGAAAGTCTAACCAGTGTGTTCTTGTAAAGAAGCTGCCAATCTCGTCCAGAAAGCATAATGCTTGAGCGATAATAATGGTTTATGCTACACCTCCGACATTGGGTTTTTAGGCCACCCAGAACAATGTCGTAGTCGCCATTTTGCACTTCTATGATGGATTCTATAACTTTTTTTGAAATTAAATTTTATGTTACAGTTATTATGATAATGGAGAATGTCCGTGCAGTTTTTAAATTTCAGTTCTCCAATAAATGAATCGTATAAATCTGCTCCTACCACGCTATTTAACTGTACTAAGTTGTTTTGTTAAAATTCACTAGCAAGTTTTTTCTTTTCAGAAGTTATTCTAAATCTTGTGCGGCCAGGTCTCAGACCTTTTATTTAGTTTTGCAGTATTACTATGAGCCTGGTACGGGACTGAAGTTTCGTTCACTGGCAGCTGTTCAGAGATACCTAACAGAAGGGCAAATCGAACAACATACCAGAAGATCAAAACCAGGCAATGAGTGTACTGTGAGTTCCAGGATTTACAGTAATTGATAATATTTAAACTTTCTCATCCCACTCTAAGAGTTAGAGTGAGAAGAGAAATTTAGAAACAAGGGAAACATATGTTATGCTTAGTTCTTTACCCACGTAAGTCCTCTGCACTAATTATACAAAATCTCTATACCTTGGATTCTTGTCACATGGTTTAGTTGAGGGTCCACTAGGTTGAGGTACCATAATTGTCAAAGTGATTTTTTAAAATTTTTCTTTGTTCGATTGCTATTCATTATTATTCCAGAACTTATGCAGTTGTCCGAATTGAAGGAGAATTTTTTTAAAAATTTTCTCTATACCTTTGGATTCTGGTCACCGTTACAGCAGTCCAAATTGAAGGAGAAAAGCTTGTAATGCCTAAAATATAAGGTCAAAATCCTTGTTGATAGTGTCAATCTGCAGGTGCTGATTACACCACGCACCAGGAGGACCAGTTCATCCTTTGTACTACCTGATGGTTGGGAAGTTGAGGAGAAGCCACGAAGCAATATTAATTATTCTGGTTACGTAGACAGGGTACTTGTTCTTTTTCATTGAAGTTTTGGTGGTTTTTTCTCTTCTATGTTGTAGAAACTAGAAGGGGTTTATCTAGCCTGTACATGCTTAAAGTGCTTGCATTCTGCAACATCGGCTGAAATTGCAGGGATGCGTGTTTCTGGGTCATCCGTGCATATGCACTTCTGCATATTTACATGTATATATGTTATGTTTACTATTTCAAAGCTGATCGCTCTTTTGGGTCACCGACTTCACCGAAACATGTGCATTCTGCAAAATAGCTACTTACATTAACTATGCAGAATGGTTGTTATTGTATATTAATGGAAAATGTCAAAAGAACACACATTGACATGTGGGAAAGTTACAAGTTAGGTTTGGGACACCGCCATTTTGGCGTCCCCGTTTCATCTAAGGCTCTATAACGGATATGCTGTTTTCTTTGTTGAGTTGGCATAACATTTGGCATTTGGTAAACTTGTCTTGGCAGACATTTTATATGCTTAGATATGGCTTTCTTTTTATGATCCATCTGTTCTGAAAGAAAGTACACTGCACTCCAGAAAAGTAAATAATTTTTTCGGGTGTTGCAGTATTATATTGAGCCAGGGACTAGAAGGCGGTTCCGTTCTTTATTATCTGTTGAGAGGTACCTAACAGAAGCAAATGAAGATGCTCCACTCAAGGCATTGATGCCTGCCAACAAGTCTAGTGTAAGTTCGTCTCCAATTACTGATCAAACAGAAGTTCATCTCCTCCATTAAACTTGACCTTGTCGAGTTTTGCTTGTGTTCCAGCTTTCGCCTGGCTCTGGCTTTCAAAAGATGAACAATTTGGGCGAGATCCTGTCCAAGAAAGTTATTTCTGGTTCTGTGAAGAGAAATCTTTCGGGCGATTATGATACACCCTCCAATCCCAGCCCACCAGCAAAAGTTAATTGGGTCCTCGGCGGTCCTGGGGGGAATATGTGGAACGCCTTCATGGACGACTCTAAGGTCCCGGATTCTGTAAAGCAAAAGTGGTCCGAGACTTTTGTATCATCCATCTCTGGTGAAAACGTGAGCGTACCTAGGTTTTAAGTTATGATTGTTCATCCAAACTCATGTAATATGATGTTTTCCCAGATCCTAACTTCTTAGAGATCTGTAGATGTATGATATAGAGTTGTGTTGTAGAATAAAGGAGCAGTTTGTACATGTAGAAGATTAAGAGAAAGACAATGGCACATTATTCTACTGAGTATTACGACATTGAAACGACAATGCCTAAACAATAAAACAATTTGGATCATATCCTCAGAAACATACTCCGGAAAACCCGGCTTCAGCTCTATAATTTTCAGTATGAAACCATGTCGCGAAACAACTTTAAAACTGAAGGCTACAACAGTCTTTGACACCTAACACACTCATCGGAAAACGGAAGAGAAACAAAGTCAAGGCGGCATTGGCATCCTTCCAGACAAGTAGAGAGACAGCTTGTCTCTCAGATGAACGCCGTTTATGTCAACAGTTCCACAAATCTGTTGGCGGTATTCTGAGTCGTGTTTGTGAGGCTGAGGCATTTCGTCTTGAACCCCGTCTTCCATATCTATAACAATGTTGTGAAGCAAGCAGCAAACAAGAATGATCCTTGGCAATCTATGTTTGTCAGGTCTCCACATCACTCCTTGAATGATCCTCCACCTATCCTTCAACCTCGCCAATGCTCTCTGCGCTACCTTCTGCGTAGCATAATGCCGCTTATTGAACTGAGCTTTCGGCTCTGGGAGTTCTTTCCCTTCATAGGGGATTACGAGATAGGGCAGTAAAGGAAATCCCAAGTCCCCGATTATGTATTCCCGGATATCCAATCCTGTGGAGAGCTCTAACCTTTTCCCATTCAACCTCCCACCTCTCTCACAGAGTTGATAAAAGTTTGAACTCTGAAACACCTGACCAGTCCTTCATTTTTCCTGGCCATCCGGTGACTATGTCCCGAAACCTCATGTCAGGATCAACAATGGCCTGCAAGACCATGCTGTGATTCTTCTCTTGGTCGAGCCAGGCATTACTTGTGGGGTCTGAAGCAGGCAAACACATCATGATGTGAGTGGTATCAACGACACCGCAACAATTAGGAAAGCCTCGTATTTTCTGAAACTTGGATTTAACTTCTGTCATTTCTGCTTCAGTGGAAGGCCATTGCAGGTGGTGAAGTCCTCTTTCTTCCATGGCTTCAACAAAACGCCAGG